CAGCACAGCGACCGCCCCCTGCAGGCCCTCTGCCTGCTGAACTTCGCCGACATTCACAGGAGCCGGAGCAATGTGGAGGTAGGCTCCTGCCCGGCGTCCGGGGCGCAGAGACAACGAGAGATTTCGATGTGCAGGTCAGCGCTTGTGACCCAGTTTCCCTCCCGTGGCGACGTGCCCTGTGACACCAGACCCTCGCTTTTTGAGGGGCCTAGGCCAGATCTTGGAAAGGGGCCCCTTCAGATCACAGTTTGCACATAGACTAGTGTGATCAGCTCCCACCACAAACATTCTTACTGTGCAGCATTCCTGTAGCAGCACACTGAAACCACACTGCTATAGTCATCTTACGGCAAAGAAATAAAGTACTGCACTTACATTCACAGCTCATAATACTGTATTATCATTTATAACTAGCAGATAGCCTAGAGTAGCACAAAAGCAACAGATGGAGCCACTGGAGGGATTTTTGGGTGGTTCACATTAGAAGGTGCCGATTAAAAAAACATGTTGTGTTGCACATTGTGGGGCCCCCCCTGGTGGCCTAAGAAGCCAAGGTTTGGCCCTGCATCAGACGCAGCTCTGGTCTCCTTCATAGAGGAGGTGGGAGCACCTACGATCTGGTGTCAGGCTGGGAGTCCTCAGACCTGGGGGGTTCTGGGATTGTGTCCTTGTTTTGCTCATGGCCATGGTGGCCTTTGACCTCCTGCCCACCTGTGTCTTCTGAAATCTAGCGCAGGCTGTGCCGAGTAATCCTCACAGCTTTACTTGTCAGGAACTCGTAAGGCAAAAGAAGCAGGAACCTTTAATCCCGGGTTTACGCTCTGATCCGTATTAGCGCCTCCCCGTCTGTTTCTCTCTTCAAGAAAGCATTCCCTCGTTACGAGTCCTCGATGTGCATCATGACAGAAATTGGCAATCGCCTGGGACAGGCGCACATCTATCTGGGCGTGGCAAAGTGCTGGCTTCTGCAGAAGGACCTGGACAAGGTACTGTATCAGTGGATCATCTTCCTACTGTCAGGCAGCCTGCAGAATCTGCTGCTGTCGGCACCCGAGAGCCTGTAGCTAAAAACCTGTGGCTGGAATATTGGGGATTTGCATAAAATACAGTCCTGAATATAGACTGTCATATAATCCCACGCTTTCTGTAAAAGAAACGCTCCTTGCCTGAGCTGTCTTAACCTGACCTAGATGTAGTCAAGCACTGGCTGCCTTGCACCACACTGCTTGCAGAGCTGTCGTTCTGTATACCCAGTAAGGGTTTTACGGTGCTGCTTTGTTCTGGGCTGGATTGTATACGCAATGTGTGACCTAAATAGTCCACAGGCTGCTTTAGCTGCATCCTAAAACATGCTTCACCAGTCTTGGAAGTATCCTTCTTTTTATTTTATTCTTCAGAGAGCACGCAGGGAAGCTGCATTAAAGGGGAACCGCCACCCTATTTTTATATTTCAGGGTCAGAAAGAATCAGCACTGATAAGTGCATTTCAAACCACAATTAAAGTAAAATCCACTCAGTACCTTGTAAAACTGCCAAATTATTACTGTACATAATAAAATAGATTAAATTTCCAGATATGCGTAGCGCCATGTTCCGTACTTATTCGCTCGTACATCACAGTACATTGATCGTTACAGGGCCGAGAGAGCAGGAAGGGCTGCACCACGTCTTGGCTCTTGTGAACTCTCGCTCTCGCCCGTGTTGAGACCAGTGGTTTGCGACTTACAGCCTGTGTACAAAGTTCACGATTTAGTGCTGCATTCGAAATCTGTAAAAATGTTATATACCATCAATGAACGTATTTTGTGAGAGAGATTTAATAACCGGTCTGAGAAATTGTGTCTGCAGTGCCCAACAGTTGTCACCCGGTCGCAGTAGTGGTGCTGGGTCATGATGTACTGCCTCTGTTTTCTCCCCTCAGGCTCTTGATGCTCTTCAGAGGGCTCAGGAACTTTCAGAAGGAGTGGGGAACAAGGTACGGTGTTTGTACACGTGACCACTTCCTGCTGCTTCAACGTCAGTAATTTTTACTGTAATCCCGGAGGGGAAACGACACCTTTAGTTGTACCGCAGTACCGTAAGAAAAGCCCGATGGTGGTATTGTTGGCTGCTTGCTTCTTGAATCTGTGTAAGCGCTGTAGCAGCAGGGCACTGTGACTTCGCAGGAAAACCACAGGGCAGGGAAAAGCATGATCCAAACTTTTGGCAAAAGACAGCAAAGCAAATCTGCAGTATGAATCAGGGGTGGCTCTGATCCAGGACGTGGAGAGTCATGGTCCAGCAGGTCACACACAGTAGGCCCCCCGTGTAATTATCAGTTTGTAGGGACTTGGAAGATGTGTTTTTTTTTATCAGTTTAGCTGGTAGGTTCAACGAGAGGAGGAGTGGCCAGCTGTGGACCTTGAATATTTAAATTGCCCAGGTTTATGGACCTGGATTATGTGGTCAAAACAGAGCGCTTCCAAGAGTTTAGGATCTGATGTCATGAAGGTGCCCCCTCAGCCCTGCTGGGCTGTGGCTGTGCAGGACCGTGCCTCTCCACCCCAGGTATAAAAACGCGGTGAGCCCACGGCACCCACTCGACGAATTAGAGGATTAGGTGCGCGTTAACATCGAGACCCAACGCCACGGGGAGCCCGGCTGCCGGCGCTCCCCACCTCCAGCAGGGGGCGCTGCGTGCCTGTTGCGGCGGAGGAGGTCTGGGGCTGCGCTGAGGCGTGCCGTCGCTGTTCCCCCAGCTCTGCGTCCTGAAGGTGCACTGCCTCAGCGAGAGGATATTCCGCTCCCGGGAGCAGCAGGAGCAGCTGCGGGAGCAGGTGGTGAAGTTCCTGGAGTGCGTGGAGGAGCTGGAGCTCTACTGCGGCATGTGTGGCGAGTCCATCGGGGAGAGGAACCAGCAGCTGCAGGCCCTGCCCTGCTCCCACGTCTTCCACTTGAAGTAGGTACCCCACCGCCTGGGCCGCGCCCCCCGGCGCCCACCACCTGCCGAGCCTCCTTACCCCACGCGCGATCGTGGCGCGCTGGCCAGGGGACCCGAGCGAGGCCCCGAAAACCTGCCGAGATGTTGCACCAGTGAAGAATGAGAGCGAAGGGTGTGTTTAACTCCTGTCTTGACCGGTTTATTGGCTTTGCTGCTGCAGTGCGTGTTTTCCGTCGCGCAGGTGTTTGCAGTCGAACGGGACGAAGGGCTGTCCGAGATGCCGGCGCTCCTCCGTGAAGCCCGGGTTCGTGTGAGCGGAGAGGGAAGCCCCTTCGTTTGGGTTCAGGACAACACTGACGCCCTCCACTCCCCGTCCCACAACCCCCCAAAAGAGGGCGCCAGGCGGGGAAGGCACTGCTGTCTGGGCCGAGGCAGCGAGGGCACCAGGACACTCCTGGAGACGCGCGTAAAGACGGACGGCTCTCAAACGGGGATCGCAAGCGTAACGAGGCCGAGCGACAGCTCGGTGCTGGAAACTCATTTCGTTACTGTCCCCTTCTTTTTATTTTATACCAGGAAAAAAATCAAGCTGGTGAAAAAAAGGACATGAATTTTTGGATTTCGTTCTTTGTTTTTCAGAAGCGCCGTCTTGAAAAGGGACGGCGTCTTTCTTCTTGTGTCTTTATTTGGAGCGTTTCCGCGGACAGCCGCGCTCACAGGAATGGAGGGAGGGGGCTCGTTTCTGACAGCTGTCAGGCTATCTGCAAATGAGAACTCCCAAACTCTGGGTTTGGTGCGGGGGCATTCAATTGGAAGAGCAGAGAGATGATTCACTGATGGCTAAGATAACTGTTTCCCAGAAGACATGCTCTGGATCACCTTTAACTTTAGTGGATTTTTTTTAATTATTCTGTCATTACATGCAAGTTCCCTTCTTCAGCTGTTGTGCCTCCTTTTGTGTTGGTGCTGTTGTGTAATTATATGCTGTATATATTATACTATGCTTGGGAGCCTATAAGCCACTGGGTTTTGCATTGACTAGCAGGACAAATTGCAAAAACGTGTGTTTTCCCTCCCCCACAGTGGAACAATCGAGCAAGCAATTTGCACCTCTCTATCTCTGTTGAAACAGTGAACATTATCAGCACTCTGCTGGTTCTCACCCAGTGGTATTATTATTCTTTTCTCATTAAATACCTCCACATACTACTGAAGAGATATCGGCTTTGGAGAGGTCAATCTGATAGTGGTATATTCAGTATAAAGAACACAAGGAAGGCAAATGATTAAGGGTTAGAGTGCAGTGTGCGCAGTGAGCTTTGCAATGAAGTGTTGGTTTTGAGACGAACTTTTTACATTTCCTTCCTCTCAACCAAATGCTCTCCTTGGCTCGTCTGCAAATGTGCCTGAACAGCAACACCTTTTTATTCAGAGACTTTTTTTAAGCAGACATGTAAAGTACTAGTGAATTCACAAATTTGCTTTATAGTCATCATGTACAATGTTTCATATATGTTACAACAGACAAAATACACTATTGTAAGGCTTAAATGTATGTTTTGACTTTTGGCTAGAATTAGTACGGTGGAGTTGTTTTTTTAATTTTAATATGAAATATGCTGTTTTTCTATAATTTGTTGTCCATTATTTTCAATGACTGGTATTGATATACATGATGTTTTCATATTTCTAGTTTGTATTTCTCTATAGTTAATTCATTATTATATTCTCAATGAGATCAATCATTTCTCAGTCTTCATTTTTTTAGAATTTGTTGTTTAATGCCGTTCACTGAATTTCAGCTCAGCTCCTTAAAGCTACCGATCTTTAATCATTGGACAAAAGATTCAATCACTTAGCTCATATGATGGATTTTCACATTTTTGTCATCTTCGACTGAATTGTTCCTTCATCAGAGTTATTCAGAACTATGTCAAATCAACACCTTCAAGCTTCCACTCAGAACGACCAAACTGTTTGTTTTTTCTGCAGCATGTCAAAAATATAAAAATCACTTTTTTGGAGGGAGTGGAGCCATGTTCAATCCTTTGACAAGAAAATAAATAAAGACTTACTGGAATAAATTAATCTTTAAAAATAATTTAGGAGCTTTGTAATGAAATATCAAATTTTGTTTTGAAGAACGTATTCATTGTGACTGATCTGAAGTCTAAACCAAAGCGCTCTGCAGAGAGGTTACAGTCTCAGGGATGCAGGAGTGCAGGGGGGAGATCTGAGCTCTTGGGAGATCTCCTCTTTGGTTTAATCTTCTATTTTCTATAGAAATAATCTGCATTAATGATTATGTTGTGTCCCATGCAATATAACACATTTGGGGTGACAACTCTGACTCCAGGCAGCCTGCAAGCAGAGACTCCAGCAGAATTACATTTCTCCTATGAGAGGGCTGAGCTGATCCAGAAGGCGTGGTTTGCGTAAGCTTGGATCAATGTCCGCAGGAAAGGGCTCAAAACTACGGTTGTAAAACATTCATCCAGTTTTCTATCTGGCCTCTGACCTACCCAAGAAAAGCAATGAAATACCTTTAGCACTTTGGAAGCACCTTTACAAGCTTTGTCAAACCTCCAGTGCCTCTGTATCCAAGTGAAATCAACCTACTAGTTTATTATGTTGTGGTGAAACAGACAAAGGTTTCAGTAGAATAAGATTAATTGTTAAAAGATTAGGGCAGGAATTGTATTATATCAGGTTTCTGGATAAACAATGTATATAGAGGAGGTTGCCATGTGATTATGTTATTCTGGACCTCTCTTCCCAAGGATATCAGGGACTCACCTTCTCTAAGCTCTTACAAATCCAGACTCAAAAACCTTCTTCTTTAGAACAGCCTTTACTGAACTGGTTCCATTCTTTACCCCTCTGCTCCTACTGTATTCAGTACCATCATCTACTGTCTCCTCTGCATATTCTAATCGCGTGTATCTTGTGTATTTTTTATTGTTTATTTGTAATTGTTGTTGTTCTGATATATTTTAAAATATATAACATATTACCACAATATAACAAATATATAATATTATTACCATGATTCAGGGTTTGGCATGACATTCTAAAAGGAGAGACTGAGGTCCCAGTGATAAACATAATGGTTTGTAATGCATGATTTAAACTTCAGGCTGTGAAGGTTGTTTTTGGAAAAGATTTAAGGGTTTTGAGAGGAGTAGGTGCAAAAACTCATCACGAAGCGCCGAGGCAGCCTATACAATTACGCACAGTGAAGTGCTGGATCTACAGAAGGTGTGTTTTGAATTATCACAGCAGTATAAACCCTGCCGAGTTTTTAATTTGCTATGAAAGAAACAAACTGATTATGTTGGCACTCTAAACAAGAAAAAAAAAACACTAAATAAGAAGTGGATAAGTGATAATGACCAATGCGCGCAAGAGAGGGCTGGTGAAGTCACTTACAGTGATTAGGCATCGCTATTCAAAACCTGGGTGGTCATGTCCTTTGCGGTGCGCAATAATGTGCCTTTTAAAATGAAGTGCTTTTAGGCCACCGGAACTGTCAGGACGCACCTTATGCTAAATGCATATAAGATCAAACTCCTGCAGTCTTGGTATCTCTTGGCAATTCGAGATACTGAAGTGCGACATTCAGTAACGCGCACTGAACGTCATTTCAACGGTTTTTCTAAAGGCAGTCAGGAAGATGAGAATTTAAGGCGATGTCGCTGTTGAGATCAAGACGAACGCTTTGAAATGTCCAGACAGTTTGTGCCGATCTGGCCTAAAGACAGTAGTGGAACGGTCTCGGTCCCGTATCTTATCTCCAGTGAATACAGTGAGTGAAATACCAGTCATTACACTTTTCCCAAGATTTGGACACGAGTTAGTTTCCGGTTCAATAGCAGTGCAGCTGAATTGAAATCCATTTAAAACCCCGGTCTAGGCAGACAGTCTCCAGAAGCGCCACTTGAAACCATTTATATTATATTACGGGCCAACGAGTTTTGTAGAAGCAGCGTATACTGTATTTTATTTTTAAAATACACCGTGAAGTCATCCAAACTGTTGATCGGGCATCATGTTGAAACGTGCCCTTAACCAGAAAAGGCAGGGATGACGGAGAGAGACACACACGTGCACACAAATCACCCGGAGCAGTAGAAATACCGATCGGCAGCGTGCGTATTCACCGCGCAACCCCGGCGACATGAAGTGAAGTTTGTGGAAAAGACGAAGGAGGCTGACTACTGGGCGAGTTCTTCACAATATTTTAAAATGCCAGCTATTAAAATATAGGGGCCTCCCAAGACAAGGTAGATGGGACCACCAGGTTCTGCAAAGGATGGGGGTTGTGGGGTGTGTAAGGACTTTGTCACTGGATACCAGTCATAGGAAATTTAATATCTCGAATTCTTTTCGCATGATCTTTGCCGAGGTATTTCAGAAATGCCGTCGCTCAGGGTCTCCGCTGATTTTGTTTTGTTGTTTTTTTTTTAAATACAAGAACTATCGCGTGTGTGGACGTGTTGAGCTTTGCACTCGTTCTTGTTTAAGAATACGCGTGAGCGTCATCTTGTTTAAAGTTGTGTTCACATTAGGTACAAATAGTAATATTTCATTATGCATAAACCCCAGTGGAAAACACGACCGTGCGCGTTCTGCAACGCTGCATATGGTCACAAACATTCAACCCCCAGTTCCAGTTCAGCTCTCGGTAGCGTCTATCTTTGCACGAAGTCACGGGTTGTACGAACACTCAGATGACCATCGCTATCTCGTAATGACAAGATAAGAGATATTTTTTTTGCTTGATGCAAGCAATATGCGGCAGCGCATTGCTGCCATCAAGGTGTAAAACAATACCTGATTTAACTCGTGATTGAGTAATTTCCTGAGGGTTTTAGTGTCGGATCTGTACTTTGCCTTTAGGTGCTGGTTTCACCTGGGGCCGGCAGGTGGCGACGCTGAGCAGAAGCGGCCGCGTGATGCTCGAGGTGAACCGCGCCCTGGGTGTCCAGTACGGGCAGTGCCGCAGCGGTCGAGACCAGTACATCAAGATCCACTGGGAGTGCGTCGGCAAGGGCAAGGGCAAGGGGAAGGGCGTGTAAAAGAACACGTAACGAGACGGCCCTTGGGGGGGGAGATCGCGCTTCTGCGCGTCAAGCCTTTATCTGGGTCGCGATCCCCTGGATGTAGATGAACTTCAGGGCAATGCGACAGTCGCTGCGCCCTGAAGTTTGCAAAGTTTGCAAAGTAGCCGTTTCCAAGAAAGCCGGTGTGTTCATGCGGCGCCTTTTTTTATTTTGTAAACCTCCCACAAGGCCCGGGTTCGGCCTGAATCAGACAGCCGAGTTGATTTAATGTAAGCCCCAGTGCCTATTCCGGTACGGCTTGATTAAAGCTTTGGAAGCTCGATGGCTGCTTTTAGCGGGGGAACCTTTGTTGAGTGTCGCTCCAGACGGAGAAGTAATGCAGAGGAGGAAGGTGCTGATGGGGGGGGGGCACTCTCGGTGTTCTGCCTTCTCTTTTCAGGAAGTTCGTACAATGTCGAGAAACAAGACACCGGTCATCTAGACATCCCCTGTGCCTACTTCCCCATCATGGATTACGGAAGATAAACAAGTGGAGGCTCAGCCGATGTGGGCATGCTGGTAAGATCAGATATTCAAGAACAAGTAAAGGTGTATTCCACGCTAGAAGGAAAAGAAAAGAGACTACATTTCAGCTGTGGAGCCTTCTTCAGGTGTGACACCTGACACCCCATGTAGCGGCGTCAGCATGCATGTAGCCTATGCATGCTGACGCAGCTCCCTACTTGAACTTATTTCACCTAGATAAAATATCAGTCCATTATCCCGGGAAGGATGACCTTTCTAAACTCCTGACATACAGCAAACATAAAGGTTCTTTGGATGTGCATTCATATGAAAGCAGTTTTCCCATTCAAATTTCTTTTGCTTACCAGATGCCCAATCTCAGCTGCATAATTAATGAAAGGGTGAGGCCTGTGGCGTGTATGTCTCCCAACATGTGTGCCTTCTCAAACACCTATGGGAGTGCAACAGTTGAGCCCCTAAAGGACACTAAAGAAATAACAGGATGACAGAGATGTGGCCTGAGCCCTATTGATGCGCTCAGAGTAAAAAGGCTACACTCTAAGGAGAGCCCTTTAGAAATTCTGGCTGTCAGTGCAGGGAATGAAAAGAAGTGCACTAACTAGTCAGGTCAGTCCTGAATATCATAAATGGTGTTTTTCCATTGCTGCTGTCTGTAATTGTGTAATTTGGCTGGCGAAAGAAGGCAAGACCCACAAAAATAACTTGTAAAAAAATGGTTAATGTGCCTCACATCTATTTGTCAGGATGAATGAGCACTTGGCAAATTCAGGAGAGATATAATTATCTGACAAGTATTATCTGATCATATTTTTGCACCACATAAATAACAAAGGCTCACAACCCTTTCCTGTAAAAAAACAATGTTTTGGTAACACAGAAGGCATAATGGGCAAACAGCCACATCAATAACACTGTCGGGTGCTTGTGTCTTTGGCTACAGGGTGTTAGGATGAGTGTGTGTTACGTTTGGAGTAGTTGTATATTGACATTTTAACCTGTTCGTCTCCAGATGTCTGCAGCGCATTATTCACAGAAGCAGAGGGAGTCCTGACGTCTGCAACTGTCCCATCACAACATCCAGATAATTCCAGCTGTGTTCCTGATCCGCCTCCCATTGCAAAAGGTGACTCTTCCGTTATAAAAGTGAATAATCAAGGGCCAGAACAGTGCATGCTGGGTATTACAAGAGCTATTCTTGTCTTTTAACTTTCTCTAGATTTCTCCAGTTCTGAGATTAAAATTTTTAGCCAGCCTAACTGTAATTGTTTAGGCATCTGCTAATCTATGCTTGGATGCCAAAGATGTAAAATCTTGTAAAGCTCATGGAAGTTTCTTCCCTCATGATGTTTTGCAGATTTTACTTGAATTTGAAGTGTTTAATCTGCAGATGTCTGAAGGCTGTGCCTGGTTTATAACGGTGACAGCAAAGACTCCAGTGTTACGGGAAAAGACCTGTGAGAAAAGACAGATTCCTCCCCTGTTTTCCAATAATGCTACCATGCTAATAGAGTTTGTCAGTGATGGGTTGCTCTCAGCATCTGGATTTAGGGCAAAGTACAAAACTGGTAAGTCAGCAAGGGGTGAGATCTGAGCTGAAAGATACAGTAGTGTAGCTTCTCCGCTGTTGGGTTCTGGGTTCATTTATAGTCTGGAAAACCTTCTGTGTGAAGCTTGCATGTTCCACCTGGACTTTCACCAGGTGTTCCAGTTTCCACTAGTCAAAGCCATGCTGCACTTCTCAATTGCCCTGTGTGCTTGTATGCAATAATGCACTAATCCCATCTGGGACATAGTCCTGCCTTGTGTTTAGACCTCCAGGGTTGGTTTCAGGTTGACCTATATTACCCAGAATATAGTCGTTTTCTCAGTATGTATGGATGAATTCTGAGCTGGAATGGCAAATAAATGTGATTCTCCTTTCCTTTCTACATGGTGTGATTTCAGAACTGGGCTAGTCTTGTGAGAGGATTTGACAGTTGGGCTTCTAAGTAAAACCATAATGGCATTAAAAAAATGTCTCCCTGAACTCAGGAAGTGAATTTGGTTATTTATCGTATCCATACACGTGTACAGTGGAACACGTGCCCTGTGGACTTGAGCCATGAAACTTAACACACTTAAAATTTGGATATTGAACTTGCGGTAGGTGTGTTGTTGATTCTGTACACAAGAGACTGGGCAGCTTCACTCTATTTTAACTCCAGGTAGGAAAATTCCATGCTCCCACTGCTTTGTTTGGATAGGTAGAAGAATCTTGTAACTGCTCTGTATGCACATGAAAAGCAGATTGTGTTTTTTTTGTTTTACAGTGGACTGTGGTGTGACTCTGACAGCATCAAAGGGAGAATTCTCATCTCTGAACTTCCCCTTTCTATCCCAATAATTACGAGTGTACATGGGCCCTCATAAGCTCCACCTGGGTACAAGGACAGGATATTTGATCATCCTCTTACACTGCCAGCGACAGTGGGATTCCTGGTATTTTTTTAAATACAGTATTAGGTATTTGTTTTTTTTTCAACAAAACTTTTATTGTCTATGTTCCCTTGTTTCAGGTTTGAGCTGTTTTTTTTTAAATGCCTTGTTTGCAACAGTAATTTTAAAAAGCAGACTGCATAACACTTGCATTTTTTTAACTGTCTTTTTCCAGAAGTTATCTTGTGATCCTGCCAAGTCTGTGTGCTGAATATACTTATTCCTGGCAAAAACAAGATTCAGTGCAAATCATCAGAATAAGTTAGGGACCCCCCTTTACTTATCAGCAAGTGCCACTATGAATAATTATAAATAATTATAAAAACATCATAAAACTGCATGCTTAGCTCTGCGACAACTGAGCTTTGTGGTGTAGAGAGGTAAGCAGATAGCCAGTTTGGCATTGTGTATCAGCCTGTATTGGTATTAAACAATCAATTTGCTGAAAGGAAGAGGAATACATTACTAAAAAATGCAAAGGTTTTAGATGTCACCAACAGCAACGGAAAGAGAGCTTTGTGTTTCTCAGAAAGTTTATTCAATTCTGTACTGAAGGCTTACAAACAGACATGCTGGCTTGGTACTGCTGCAGACATCTTGGCAGTCTGACTCCTGCTGCAAAGGGCGTTACCCTTCCTCTCGGTATACAGATAAACATGCACATCTTACACACAGTTCTCCTAAGCCACTTAGACACTACAGGATCACAAACAGCCGTTCCAGAACTATTCATATAACTCTGATATAAACACTTAGCAATTTTATCTACAGTGTAAAGCAGAGGCTCATTTTAGATAAAGAGATGCACTGAAGAGAGTGAGGAAAAAAAACACTTTTCTATAAAACAGTCTTCATGTGGCACAGGAACTTCCACAGAGCAACCACAAGGTTGCCCAAGGAGGGAAATCAATGAGCAGATCAGCACCGCACACTTCTTCAAAACATGCTCATGTCCTATTTACACAATTCCAATACATCTCATTTAGTGAAAATACTCCCAATTTGTCTCCAACTGGCAATTAATACAAGGTTTGTCTGACAAAGTAACTCACTATAATTAGGACTGCAGTGTGCTAGAAATGGTATAAACTCACAGAAGCAGGCAGGTACAGTACCCAGCTAACCCAAACACTGCCTCCCAGAAATCGCCCTATAAGCTGCAGAAGTGCTTGCCAATACATTTCTCTCCCTCCAGTGACTGACACGGCCAGCGCTCCGGGAGTCTTGCGGGAGTGCTCCTCAGGCGTCCAGCACACACCACCAGAAGACCACCAGGGAGGCCAGCAGAGGGAGGAGGAGGGGCCTGGCACTGGCAGGGCTGCTGTTGCACAGGTCTGAATTGCAGCACTTGAAAGTGAAACTCTTTATGGTGGGGAACTGCACGCTGAGCTTTTGAAAGTCACAGGATGTGTAGTCGAAGCATTCCTGAATCGTTTTACCTCCTTAATAAAACAAGCCAAAAAAAGAATTAAAGTAAGTGCCACATTGCAGGTGATGAACAGCCAAATGAAGGTTCCTACAGTTTGTAATTGTAATATGTATGTGATTAAACACAACAGTATATACTATACTTTCATGCACTCTGTGCTTACTGCCTATAGCGTTATGGACTGAAATGACTAATACACAAACGTCACAGACCCACGAAAGGCAGGTTTCTCAGCCCATGTGCACCATAATGCAGCAGTAGCTGGGGCTCTAGTTTCAAAGCCCCAGTGCTGTTGTAGCCTTGAGCAGGGCACTACACTACCTAAGTCCAGCTTTATATATGGGTACAAATGTCACTAGGGATAAAAGAAACTTTTCCAATCACACTAACCAGTATATTTTAAGGAAAAAAAAACATTTTGTGGAAAAATAACACTTGTAAATAAGTTAAATCAGACCTGTCTCAGTTAGTTTCAGGCATGTATTCTTCGTGCCACAGTCCTCTACAGTGGAGCAGTTTGGCGAAATTCCTGTGCATTTATAGCACTTGAGGGCAAAGCCTGGGGGGAAAAAAAATGCTATAATGCCATAAAGAACAAATCTCTCAACTCCAAAATCTGCACGGCATTTCAAGGAGTATCTAATGGTACTTTTGCAAAGTAAACTCTTTACTGTACTTGACTTCTGAGGTTAAAGCCAAAACACTGAAGGACATCACCTACTCCTCAGCAGTATTTAGCCCCTTGGGGAAACAAAACATACAATATAGGGCCCATTTACAGTATATTGTTACAGTAAGGAAATGGAACTCTGTTACACTATACACGGCAATAGCTGAATGCATTAATACCTAGATCCAAAGGTCTTTTGCTTTGTACATACAAGTCAGCATTATCACACAGAATGCAAACAAGAGTCATAGTCACACATTTTAAAAGGGAGCTGGCCGATACTCTGGGTCACACTAAACCAGGGGAGCCTGACACCAAAAGTACCTTTAAAACCCCCAGCTTCTCAAGAACAAGGAGAGGCTTCAGGTTGTCCAACTGAGCCACCGATGAGTCCACTTAGGTAGTGAAAGTACATCCTGGGGCATCCTGACCCTCCAGGACTGGACCCCTGACATTCTTCACTAAGAGCGAAGGACCAGGACAGGGTAGGTCTCCCAGGATATAATGGGCTGCCACTCGCAAAGAGTGCTTCAGCTGGGACGCTGCATTCGTCAGATACATACAGGCCAGGCGTGACTAACCCCAATTCCCACCCAGCCAAACCCTCCATCTTCATGGCTGTTTGAAAGGGAGCCAGACAGCTCAGAGATGACCCATGATGCAAATACCAAGGGCTGCAAGCGTCACAGACCAGAGCTGATCGATCCCGATTTAACTGCACCCATTACCTTACTAATGGATCTCTGACGCCCTGCCAGACTGTGGTTATCCAGGGCCATGGTCAGTCTTCTCGCGCAGACTGAATGCTGTTTCTATTAAGTAGGTCTGATTTGGTTCTATGCAATGAGAACGAATTGCCTTCTCGCATTGCAATTCCAGGGAAGACAACCTACAGTCTGTGGAAACACCTTGGGACCATGGACACTCGTGAAATATTTGGGGGATGTAGCAAAATCCCTGGTTTCATGTTCATCTTGTAATATGTACGAGAATGACCCCATGAACATTTTCTTGGGGGGGACATGCTACAAGATGTGGTTCTCGGCTTTAACATTCATTGCAAACCTACACATTCGGGCTAGCAGCACAGAAAACCTGGATGCTAAACTGGTTTCTTTTCAGTCTTCTTTACGGCTGAGGCAGATTTGCACAAGAAAGGGCGGGTCACTACAAAACTATGTAGGTTTCCCCAGTCCTCAACACTTCCTGCTTTATTACAGCACTGAACCATCAATTCACTTGATTGGAATATCTGCAAGGTTTTCCTTGTTAAGATGAGGGTGCATTTCATCATACTTATAAAGATCAACAGTGGGAAGGCAACCTTGAACAAAGTTCAAGAGCTCTAAACTGCTGCACATTGGTGGTGGTGGAGGTGGAGGGGACTCCCCATTAACTGTAAAGCGCTTTGAGTGGAGTGTCCAGAAAAGCGCTATATAAGTGTAAGCAATGATTATTATTAAACAAATCAAGCCATTTAAAATTCATAATTCATTGCATTAAGAGTCGATTCATGGCGTCACACCAATGAAGGGTTGCATTGTGTAACAGATGGGAGTGGAGAGAAAAAAAAAAAAGACTAGCAGGGCTAGAACGACCAGCATCTGCTGACATTCAACAAAGGTTTAGCACTTAGGCCACCTGCTTGCTTCCAGTCCCTGAGCAATTTGAAACCATGCCGGTTCTCAAAGTGACGCGCTTTCTGGACACTGTCCGACACAGCAGCAGCCCTCCCGATATGGAGGCGGTGGCCGTCATCCCACATCTAACTGTTGGCTCCAGCGCCTCGCACTGTGGCGATGCTTACTGGAGACGGGTTTGTGCGGCGACAGGGAGTTTCGCACGTCTACGGGATTTCTTCTTAGTGGTAAACCGTCGCATCACTACGGAAAACTCCACAGCAGCACAGTTATTCACAGTGGAGACTTTGTTTTGTATCGGCTCCACGCCCTGTCAGGCCCTGGCTGGAGTCCATGTTTCGAGCGTATTTATCAAGGGTCAAAACGGACGCCCGGATTCGGGCAGTTTCAGATCTGCACCGAACAAAACCCGACTTGATCATCGCGGGTGACAAAAATAAAGCTCAGGTACCGACCAATACTGAAGACTGCGGAGCAGAGGACCAGCGAAAACACCAGCGTGTTCTTCATTCTTCCTTCGATCGCTCACTTCCTAGGTAAAAGAGAAGAAGCACGTAGTTTTAACCGTTATTTCTTGCTCATTTGGCGTTAGCAGAGAGGGGAAAAAAAAGAGTGCGTATCAACAAGCCTTCCTTAAAGCTGAAGCTTCAGGCCACTGGCGGCAGTGACCGCTGGGCAGGCGAATCAGTTCAGTTGTCGCTTAACGGAAAACCGAGTAAAATCCTTACGTTTCCGTTTAACAGGGAATAAAGAGGTACAACTCGATCTGCAAAAAGCGATAACGAAAACACTCATGAACGAAGCCTTTCGAGCGGATACTCGCGCAGCCTGTGCAGAGGCTACCGTAACGGCGTGCATGGGAGGAAAAAAGAGATTTAAACGTGGACGGTAATAACAGCATTGCACTGCGACACAGCGCAAAAACCCGATTAAAGTTCAGAGATTCAAGAACACGACATGTAAACCGGGTCACTTAAAAGCTGACCGAGCCCTCCAGTTTTTAGCACTGCCACAAATAGCACAGACTCCCAGCTCCCCGTTTGTACTCTCGGCTGCGCCGAAAGGTGGGAGCTTTATCACCAAGATAGACGCAATGTGACAAATACTTCATCTGCCCTTTTTTTTTTAAAAAAAAAAAATAATAATCTAGATTTGGCATACACCACTACTCACCTCCGCCTTCTCGACCCTTGGCCAGGCTTCACGGTTTTATACAGCTCCCGTGTGATAGACCGCGCTGACGTCACCAGCTCCCCTCCCTCAGCCCTTGTCGTCTCACGGCCAGGGGGAGACGAGCGCCCACGATGACTCACCGCGAGCCCAGCCCTCACAAAACAGTTCTCAGCCGGCACGCGTGGGATTACTCACGAATGACCGGACTCTTTCGGGAGACAGCGTGGAACTAGAAGCCGGAGGCGGCTGCGTGGCGTGGGTGTTGGTTCCCCACTCCCCCCTCTCGGCTTACCTGTTGGTATGTTCTCCCATGCCTGCTCGCCATTGGTCCAGGGGCGCGGCCGGGGAGGTTTAATAAAATATCTTAGTGACAAGATTGAAATGATATAACGCCACAAGGTTTTTTTTTCGGGAAAAATGGCCATTCGGTACCAAAACAAGTCCAAATCGTTTTTAAAATCCAGATTTGGCAAAGTATTTTTATCCTTTGCGAAAGTGTTTGCAAACGTACTTGAACCTGTCCGAAAGGAGAGTATAGCATGTTTTGATCTCCCTCAATATATACTGATGGATAAAAGAAACGCAATACCTCCTCCTCCACACTCTGGCCCTCCCGTCTGCGTGGAACAAGCTGAAGGGTAACTCATCCATGAGGAAGACCTGATGCCACTGCTGAGGAGTCCATCGCAGCCTCTGTCTGGCCCAAGTCCATCAGGGTGTGACGTCTAGGAGGTGTGAGCAGAGGGCCTCTGACAGGTTGCCTTGCTCTAAGGCCAGCAGCATGGAGCCTCACTGTCCTGTCACTGATGCGGGCATTGCGTCTGCTGGCAGTTTCAGCAGCAGTACGGGTGGCAGATCTGAAACGATCTCTCAGATTGACCAGTCTGAAGTGTCGGTCCTGCTCTGGTGTGGTCACTTGAGGGCGGCCGGATCTTGGACGGTCATCTGTCCTGCCAGTCTGCTGAAGCCTTCTCTGCAGCTTACTCCATAGTGTCCTTACAGCTTGCTCCAAGCTGTATTGCTGTTCAGAGGGCGTAAAACAAATTGACAACTTTTTGTGAAATAACATAAGCTATAACTATAGTATTCTCATTCCAGAAAATGTTGCGTTTCTTTTTTCCATCAGTGTAATTGCATTTGATTCATGTCAGTGGGTGTATCTTAGTAATGAGCTTTGCTTCAAATCTAATAATTTCCAAAGGTTTGGTTTAAAAAGCCTGCACACAAACCATCTGTTTATTGCATGTTTCTTAATGACTGCTTGCATTCCATGAGATACGAGTGTGAGCAGCATTTCACCAGGTGTTTCATGTTGAAAACGTTCTCCTCTCTCTAGTGAGTTAACGAGACAGCAGCAGTACTTGACAGCAAAAAGAAAAGTGCTCTTGGAAATAATCACAGGACTCCTGGGCACATCTTGTTGACTGTCTGCAGAGAGCTTCCCAATTATAACAAAGACACAAGCAAGCCAAAACAGAAAAGTCCACATGATTCTAACTGACCTTGACACAAATGTAGGCACAGTCTAGCTGCTTGACAAGAGCCTGCACCACACTGTCAGAGGTGCAGATTTATATGAGCACTGACGAGAAGAAGGCTGCCTGAGACTTGCACTTACTGTAAGTCTGTTTCAGCATGCTCCTGTATTCCCCATGCAGCATTAACCCACAGGCAAGTCAGATCATTGTGTTCTTCCAGAGAATCTCCTTCTGCAGCGACTGCAGGGTTGAGACAGATCTAACCTGTCGTTCTGGGGCGCGCTTAGCTTGAGACTAGGGTTTCATGGGGAAATGAGTTGAGGTTTCTGGTCTTGTGGCCACAGGGAACTAGCTGCCTGTTGTAATTTTTTGGGCTAAACACATTGTGCCGAAACTTTGGGCATTTTCCAAAACATGCAAAATTGCATACCAAGTCTGTTACAGTAGCAAAGGCTCAAATGTGCTGATTTGCACTTCAGTGCAACCCTTTGCCCTGATATTTTGTAAGAATCAGAAATTGTTATTCTTAAGTCAGAGGGCTTAAAACAAATTGACACCTTTTTGTGAAAGTACACAAGCTATAACTATAGTATTCTCATTCCAGAAAACGTTGTGTTTCTTTTTTCCGTTAGTATATTTGTGCAAGTTTTTTAGTTTACATTTCTACAAAAATAGATTAGGATCGTGTCCTTCGAGCATTATTTTATATTTAAAAGGTTGTTATATTCTTCTATTCTGTATTAAATAATGGTGCACTTTAATTTGCAGTATGCGATAGAGAAATTACACATTTTTAAAATAGAAATGGTTCTACATTTTTCTGCACAACACTGTAGTTTTGATTTAGGATATATGTCCCGTCTATATAGTATTTATCAGCGACTGAGTATGTTCACACTGCATAATGACCTCTCCACATAGTTGCCTGTATATGTAGGACATATCAAAATGCCTTTCATTGTACTTTTAACAGTAGCATTAATGGCATATTCATATCCAAACACTGCAAAATTATAAATAATGAGACCCAAAGTATTGTACATAGAACAAGTTTATTTGTGTGCATGCAGCTCATTAGCAATATGAATTAACAGTTTTACCTGGAGGTTTTTACTGGTGTTTTCTAAGGAATGTACTGTATTTGGTTTCCATTACTTCAGTTCTCTTCCCTCGTCTTTAAATCTGTGGCCTATCAGTTCCACTTTTCATTTGAACTGGCTGATTGATCCCTGTAACTGAATCTCTTGCTTTATTAAACCTGTGTTTTAGACCCTACATTTCTACATTCAGCCTTTGGTTTCACAATACACTGCTGCAATTGTGTTGCTGCAGAGAGCTTGTCCTAAACTAAACCATGTCCAGTCTGCTCCTCAAGGGGTTACACTCTTAGTTTCACCTAATCAGCTCACAGGTGACCAGTTCACAATGTCCGGACTGGTGGAAATCACACTGTGGCTCCAACACCTACAAACAAGCAATGGTCTGCTTACACCCCTCACACCTGAAGAAAGACTGATACTAATTACGGTGGAATTAGCCTAATTGAGTCAGAGATAAGTGGAACAAAAACCAGAAGACACAGGGCCCCCCCGAGAGCCAGGACTGGCCCTCAGTTCTGGTCCTATGGAGCCTAACAAATACCGGAGTTTGTTCAGGCCAGCTTTCTTCACTTCATCAAATCCTTAAGTGGACTAATTGAGTTGCTTTATTGTATTTCTTTGTCTTTTTGCTCTACTCCGAAATTAGAGATCTTTTGTGACTTACAGACTGCAACCTCCTACATGTTCAGGAACTGAAGACAATTAAAAAGGTAAAGTTAGTATCCGTATAAGTACAATCAAAAGTTCAGTTATGTGACAGAGCTCAGATGTAACAAATACGTGTGGGTGTCCCCAGGACTGATAAGGGACCCCTGCTCTAGACTATACTGACCTGCTGGTCTGTAGAGTTTATTGTGGGTTTATTTACACACACCTCACATGACATCTATTGCGAATTTCACTTTGAATGCTCCTTCAATAAGTGGAACTGTGATGGGGATGGTTTATACTGCCTTAGTTCAAGATGGGTAACATGCATGTCCCTGCAGTCACTTGTGACTAACATTTTTGCAGAGAAAGGTTCCAGAGAAATGTTTCATGTCTGTCAGTTAAAGACTCCTAAAGAAATGTTTATGCATTTTATCCAAGCTTTTATTCAGGGGGTTGCTAAGCAGCTCTGTGCCTCTGTACACTCTCTAACTGTCCTGCTGAAGCAGGAGTGTATTTAGATCATTTGTTCTGATCAATTGAAAACCAAATCATTATTTTTTACATTCCCAACAGCTATATTGACACTTTGCCAACAGCATACCACCAAAATGTAATCTTTTTTCATCCAGGTCTAAAAGTATCTGCCATTCAAGCCATTTCTGGGAAACAAGAATATTGTTTTTAACTCAGACCTAATACCTATGCTGGTACCCAAATCCAAAGTCCACATTTCCATATCACTGAATAGGACTGCCTTTTCCAGAGACTGGCTACCTTTGTAATGTTAGGAAAATGTTCCTTTCAAATCTACCTCCAGTGCTTATTTATGAATTAACGCAGTTTACAATTCTAACATACTTTATCTGCCCTTTCACAAAAGAGCACAGTTACTGTATGATAGTGAAAATGTGATGCCAATAATGTTTTTCATGTCAGTGTACATGAATGAATTTTGTCCTTGACATATCTGTTCATTCTCTCCTGGGAAGAGATCTGAAATTAAGATTTTACTCAGGTGTACAAAAACATAATATGTTTGGTATGTCTGGTACCAATTACTGTACCGAGATAATATAGTGATTGGGCTAAACGACCAACAAGGAAGTTGTTCCAGTTTTATAAACTCAATAGATGCACACATGTAGAGGGATTGCAATGCAAGCATTGCCGATAATAACTTTTTTAGCATTTAAAAATAACAAAGAAACACTGTGGGTCACAAAAGTCTACAGTGCAGTTTAAAATGAAAATATTATTTATAATTTTTTTATTAATTTCCTGAAAAAAGCAGACATGAATGACCATTGCACTGCTTTGACCTAAAACACCTGTACTTTCCTGTAGGTATCCAGGCAATCTTCTCCTCTGGATCTAGTAAGATAAAATAATATGTGATTGATCCAGATTTAAATCTGTTGCTGAGCACCTGTTGCTAAATTAACTCAATTATATGCATTTAATGCAGTTTGGCAATGTCAATGAAATATGCTTCAAAGCATGTTTGCCTGCTACCTCTGCAAAAGTGCAATACAGCTTGTGCACATCCCAAAAAGTGTACATAAGCAAATAAAATAAAATCACTACTCAACTGGAAAGCAAGACACTTTGTACATCATAGGGATCATTTTATGCTAGGGTTACAATATGAGGAGTACAATTAAAAATACAAGAAAATAAACAAAAACTCAATGATACAGACTGTTATTAAGAAAGGGCGAGTGCTCTAGAGCAGAAAATCGGTTATAGGTTTCACATCTCTTATGAACACATTCCTCTCTATTTGTTTACAAGACATTGGTGGCCCGGATATTTAGCAGAAGCAGACGAGTTAGTTCAGCGGCTGGGCTGTTATCTGCGCCTGTCTCCGTGCTTAGAGAACACACCACCAGAACACCACCAGAGAAGCCAGCAGGCCGAGGAGGGGCTTGCTGACAGCTGCCGCAGTGCTGCTGTTGCACAGGTTGCTGCTGCAGCATCTGTATGAAAATCCCGTCGATACCTGGGGGAACATCTGGCCGAGTCTGGCATTGTCACAATCTGTATATCTGATGCACTGCCGGATAGTTTTTCCAGCTTGAAGAGAGAAAAAAAAAACAAAGTGCAAAAAAACGAACAGATTAGTCCCAAAACCCTCAAAAAAACAGCACAGCAGATTTGAACTGCTTTGTGCATATTGTCAGATCACTGCTCTTAAACCAGGACTTTATGTGTTAAGAAGAGCTCGATGTTTGATTTTTATTTTTACTTTAAGAATATAATACAAGGTATAAATCGAGGAGGGTTCATTTTGGCCCATCTTGCCTGTATCAATTATAGTAATCTTCTCAATCCAAGGATCTAATCCAACCACTTCCCTAAGGATTCTATGTAACATCTATGTAATGTGTTCCTGAAACCCAGGGCACTTTGAATCCTTAATCCCCCGTCTCGCTATTTCTGCTGAGGCCTGTGGATCCTGGTCTTTTTGCTGAGCCTGTTGTTGTCAATGCATGGCATATATTTTTTGAGTATCTGTTTCAGTTCCTTTCACAAACTTCTTTTTGAGACCGATTCCCAACGACTCCACCTCCTCCCGCAATGCCAATTCAAACAAAAAACTCCTGTATGAATGTGCCACGCCTTAAAACGTCCCACATTCAGGACAAAGGTGTAAATGTGCCTCGTGCCTTTTTAGACGGAAGATTGCGAAATGCAACGTTCAGAGGAATAGTTTAGTCATCCTGCATGAGGGGAAGCAAGAATTCCTGGCTGTTTGAGTTTTCTAGTCTTGCTCAGAAGGAGGCGAATTCTTTCTAGATGTTTGTTTCTCTTGAGGTTATTTGCCATGCTGAATGGCCATCCCACTAAAAACAACACTATCTTAAAGAGCTGGTGCATTTTTGATGGAAGGGTAAGGAATTAATGGAGTTTATAGCAAAATCTCGGGAGGGGTGACAACAGCCAGGTTCAATCAGCCTCAGCTGTCAGTAATTAGCAATCACCTCGGACATTATTTACTTCACATAAAAGAGCTATAAATAGTGTATGTGACCCTCTTCACTCCCTCGTATCCATCTTCTGTATCTGCCCCTGGGTCACTCCTCACCCTGGAGGAGGTTCCCAGCCTCCTTGTCGGCCTTAAGCCAAGGGG